TTCTGGACATTTCATATAAATGGAATCATACAACATGTGGTCTTTTGTATCTGGCTTCTTTGATTTCGCACATTTTCAAGGTTTATCAATGTGGTAGCATGTATCAGTTCTTTATTCTTTTTATAGCCAAATAATATTCCATTGTATAAAAAAAGAGGGGACTTCGAAAAGTTCATAGAAGAATTTGTATGATCTTTTAATTCAATTTTTCTTTTTTTTCCTTTTTGTCTTTTTTACTAACCGGTAATGGGATCGCAACCCTCAGTGTCACGCCCGTACCAGGGACCGGCAACAGGATCACAACCCTCGGTGTTGCGCCCGCACCACGCTCCGGGAACCGGTCTCCACATGGGATCCGAACCCTCGGTGGGAGGGCACACTCTCCAGTGCGCCACCGGGCTGGCCCTTAATTCAATTTTTCCACAAACCCTCGTATTCCCCATTTTGTTTATCCATTCATCAGGTGCTGTACATTTAAGTTGTTTTCACCTTTTGGCCACTGTGAATAACTGCTATAAATATTTATGTGGAAGTTTGTGTGTGAACATGTCTTCCTTTCTCTTGGGTATACATCTAAGAGTAGAATTGCTAGGTCATATAGTAACTCTATATGTTTAACCTTTTGAAGAACTGCCAGACTATTCTCCAGAGAGGCTGCACCAATTTATACTCCTACTAGCAGTGTATGAGGGTTCCAAGTGCCCCACATCCTCACCAGCACTTGTTATTATGTCTTTTTGACTATAGCCTTCTTAGTGGGTATGAAGCAGTATTTTAAAGTGGTTCTGTGACCACGCCTTTTGATGCCCTACTTCTGAGGTTATGGTTACACTCTTCTGCCCACCTAGATGCCTCCTTCTCACTGTATGCATCCTACCAATTTATCATCAAGACCCAGCTAAAATCTTATAGTTTTCTCAGACCATCTGTGATGTTAAGTCTCCAAACTCGGTTCAAATGATACTGTGGCACAGTGTCATTACCCTTCCTGCAGGTATGGGCTTTTTGGCCTACTATGTCTTCTCTCTCCAACTAGACAGTGAGCTCCTTAAAAGTAGAGTGAGGTCTTACATTTCTAATGCCCAGTATGGAGCCTATCAAATAATGGATACTTCATAAACCTTCACTGGCATGATTTAACACAGGAACTGCAGCTGGAGTGGAGGCAGGTAAGAATGAGGGAGAAGGCATTTTGGATCTGAGACTGCGAGGTAGGAAAAGAAAGTATGGAGTTAAGCAGTGGAGGTCAGTCCTCTTCCTCATAGGGAACTGTGGATTCTTAAGCAGAGGACAGAATTCATCAGCGTGATGTTTCATAAACTATCTTAACCTTCTTCTTCACTATGAATCTGCATTTACTCTCAAGTCTAGACTTGGTGAATATGATAGGCATAGGAACAGTGAAAGAAGCCTCCCCTCTTACTGGTATCTCCTCTTTCTTTCCTCCAGCACTAGCAGCACTCTTCTGGAACTCAGGAGGGGATAAAGGTCTGTATTTAGTCCTTCGTGCTTTGACAGACTCCCCAATCCACTCAATGCATCAAGAGTCAAAGAGTCCCTGTGTGAGCCACATCAAGAAAGAAAATCCATCCCCAGTGAATCAAGAGAAAGAATCACCAAGTCCAAGGCCAACTGAGTCACAGTCTCTGAAGACTGGAATCATTAACTTTAATGTCTTACACCCTTTATTTTACCCAGCTGTTAGGCAGGCTCAGATTCAAAGCCCACTGTGCTAGGCCATGGCTACTTGAATCACATAATCATTTAAACAACTACCGATGAGTCAGGAAGAACACAGCATACTGTAGGCAAGTATGGGTGAATGAATGTGTTCTAGTATTGGAAATTGACAGAGAAGGTCCATACTGGAACTAACAGCAAAAACCTTCCCTG